TATATATATATATATATATATGATATATGAACATCTATGATAGGCTTAATATCAAAACCTTAAATAATATATTTCTTAATAAATATAATCAAATAACTTGTTATAAAATTATCTTCTATCTTATTACTCAATTTAGTTTTGAAAATTTTTATAATTGAAAATGTATGTTTTTATAAGTATAATAATAATCCGTTTTAATAAGCGATATTAAATTTTATGAACTTATTTTTAAGAATGTCATGTTGAAGTAGATAATATTCCTATTTCTAGATAATTAACAAACAATAATGAATGCAAAATAAGATGTATAAACAAAGTGTGATTTATAAAAGAAAAAACACATAAATAACATATAAATAAAAAAGGGTAATTTACACTAACATCTCCTGAGATTTCTATTTAATATAGATCATTCCCTTACATTTGAAAAATTACACTTACTCCTTATCAGATTAAAATGACACATTTGCCCCTTAACCTTTATATATATAAAATAACAAAATAATACAAATATTTTGTTTACGTTATTTCAAGGGAAATAACAATCATCTTCTTTGGTTTAACTCACACAAAAAATTGAGTTTTTTTTTAATTTATTTTTTATTTTTATAATTTTTCATATATATATATATATATATTTTAGTGAGTTTTTAAAAATATTTTAAGCAAATTTTTTTTTTAAATTTTAAATTTTATTTTTTAGATACATCTAATCTAGATATATTTAAGAAGTATAATATTTTGTATTTGTTTTTAAATTCACCAAAGATAAAGATACAAAAATTCAATACATTGTCTTATTTTATTGTGTTCAATGGATTTTTTAAAAGTTTTTTTTAAAAATTTTATACTTTTAAAATATATCTAGACTAAATTGATATAATCTATATATAATGGTGGAAATAAAAATAAAAATTATATTCACATATAAAAATTTATATAAAAAATATCATAAAAGTATTGTAATGGTGATATTATTATAAATATAAATAATGTTTATAGATGTTTTGTTTTAAAGTGAAAATTCACCACTAACCTATATCATTGTGTAGGGGTGTAAAAATGACCTGTGGCTCATGGGTGGCCGGAAGCCCTCCCGTGGCCCGGGGTGGGTCAGGCCCGTTTGGGCTTGTGCCCGAGCCTAGCGCAAGCCCCTAGGCTGCCTAGGCCATCATTTTGAGGCTTGGCCCTGCCCGTGATCTAGCCCATCGGTCCGCTTAAGACCCACTTAAGGCTTGACTCAAGGCCTGCCCCGCCCGAGGCCCATTATCTTTTTCCAGTGAAAAATAATAAAATTTTGATAGAAAAAATTTAAAAAAACAAAAAAAAAATGGTCAAGCTCGCCTAAGCCCAGGCCCACCGAGTCGGCTTGAATACCCCTGGGCCGAGGCCTGGTCTTGAGTCTAATTTTTGGCCAATGGACAAGTCCGGCCTTACCCGACCTAAATTTTAGCGGGAGCCTGCGAGGCTCGACATGGGCTGGGCCAGATTTACACCCCTATCTTTGTGTTTGAAAATTCTATATAAGATTTATGTTTTTATATCATCACTCAATAAGAATATGTTTAGGTAAAATTTAATGATAGGAAGGATAAATGATAGGAAAAATGATATGATGGTCATTTAAAAAATTTTAACGCATGACATCAACAATTCAAGGGTCAATTTGTAATGAGATTACAAATCTCAACGAGGAGAATGTAATTTTTCAATTGTGAGAGAAAATCTGTATTAAATAGAAACCTTAGGGGGGTGTCAATGTAATTTACCTAATAAAAAACTAGAATAGAAACAAATAAAAAAATAGAAGTAACTCTAAATAATATTGAAATATAGCAAATAATATAGATAATAAATAAAATAAATCAATATTTGATAAAATTTAATTTAGAAATTATTTTTAAAATTTTGTAATATAAATAAGGGAGATTATTAGAAAATCATTTTTCAAGTGTTTGTATTCCAATTAGTCCATAAGATATTTTTGTATTCCAATAAGTCCCATTATTTGAACATTTGATCTATCAAACATAATTCTCATATTTAAAGTATTTTAGGGATATTTCTAGCCTTATAAATATTTTTTGAACGGTCAGCAATTTAGTGATGTGAACATTCATATTTTACAATGTAAATATTTATATTGACGTGTAAATGTTCACATTAACAGTGTGAACATTCACATTGACATGTTAACATTCATATTGATAGTGTGAACATTTACATTGACGGTGTGAACATTCACATCACGGAACATTCACACTGTAAATGTGAATATTATTAGGGGTATTTTGGTAACTATGTCACTCATAAGACTTATTGAAATATAAAAAAATAATGTGAACTAAATAGAACATAAGTAGGTAAAAAGGAATTTATGAAAAAGTGCCCCTATAAATAATTAAGAAAGTGAGAATTACTAAAATTTTAAGAATGCTTAGGTGCCGTTTGGTAACACATACGTTTTCAGTTTTCTGTTTATATTTACAAAAATTTAAAAAACTCAAATAAAAACTTATTTGGTAAAATTTTTGATTTATAAATCAGTGGTCTCAATTTATAAATTTGGCTAAAAAATGAAAATACAAAAAATGTGTTTTCATTTTGAGTTTTCAGTTTTTTTTTTTTTACCACCCAACACTAGCCATCACCCACCACCATCTTCCACCACCGTCTTCCGCCACCACCACCCGCTATCATTTTCCTCTTCTGCCGCCACCACTCGTCACCACCCACCACCCGTCACCACTTGCCATTTATTACTCTTTTTTATATTTTTAATTTTTTTTAAACATTTTGTCTAAACCAAATGCGTTTGTAGTTTATGTTTTTCTAAAAATAAACAAAAATTAGTTTATAAAGTTTTTGTATATATAAACTGAAAACATAAACGTTATCAAACAGAATGTAAATAAGCAACTTATTTACTTATTCACATCGTCTATCTATTTTTCTACACATATCTTCGTAAAAAGCCAAAAAAAATCATTTAATAAGCAAACCCCTTAAATGAAAAAAACACACACACACACACACAAAAACAACTAAAGAAAAAAAGCAAAACATAAATCAATTATTTCCAAACAAGCTTTCAAATGCTTATAAATAATAAATTACACTTTTTTATTCTTATATTTTGGTTAAAATATTATTTTAATTTTTACGAATAAGTAAAATTTACAAGTTTTAATTTACTAATCGATCTCACATCTATTATATAGAGTTTTTAGTTTAAGATCTTTGATATTAGAATTTTATAAAATAAAGAACATGCAACATTTTTATAATAGTTGGAGTCCTCAACATTTTAGAAATTACTAATTTTTCACAGAGAAATTTCTCTGATAAGTTAAAATTTCTTGGCGATGAGCTCAAATTTCTCTAAATATTATTATGGATCTTAACTAATAAGAAAAAATATATTTGACTTCTCCTACTACCCAAAGTTGGAGAGAAAATTATATAATAGTCCCCTATTATATTGTTATGTGAATTTTTTTTTTTTTTTTTCAAAACTTTTTCATCGCGTGTCATTTATATAAGTGTATCTCCAATCCTTCACATTTTTTTCATCATTTTTTTAATGAAAAAAAAATGTTAAAAATTTATCTCCAATCTTTTTTATTAAATATTTATCAAATCGAGAGAGAATCATTTTTTTTCCCATCAAATTGGGAACTAAACAAATTCTTCATCAAAATGTGACAAAAATTTAAAAGAATGTAGATGATTTTGATGAAAAATGAAATTTGGGATAAGAAAGTAATTTTTTTTAATAAAAAAAAGATAAAAAGTTTATGAAATGATTGAAGTAATTTGAAAAAATTAATAAACGACTGAAGATAATCTAAATAAATATATGGATTATTTACATGAATACCCTTTAAATTATTGAGAAGTATCATTTTAAACTCTTAAATTATAAAAACGTACAAATTGAACCTCCTAAACTATAAAAGCATATAAATTGGATCCTTAACGGAAGGGGTCAATGTGAAACACACTAATAATTTAAAGGGTTAATTTGTACATTTTTATAGTTTAGGAGTCTCCATGTAAATAATCTTAAATATATTCTTATAATATATACTTATTTCGTCTCAAAATATTAGTCATTTATTTCATTTTTCATTATTTAAAAATATTAGTCTATTTTCAAAAATTAAAGACTAAAATAATATGAATTTTCTATTTTGTCATTTTTTAAAATTCATTTACAACAAAAAAATTATAATTATGAAAATTGATGTTTCGAAAAAAATATACTATCAAAAGGTAATTTTAAAAATAATTATACTATCAAAAAAATTAAATGTTTCACAAAAAAAATAAAAATAAAATGAAGGAGTATTCATTTAAAAAAATAAAAGTAATAAGTAAATAAAATACTCCATCCATTCCAAAATATTAGTTTCTTATTTTATTTTTTCTGGACTCCTCTCGTCGAGCCCTTGCTCCTGGTATGCTCAAAAGCTGATTTCGAGCAATACGATTTCTGGGCAGTTTCGGAACAACACTCTGTTTTTCCGCAAAACGCACAACACCGGCTCTGATACCACTTGTTAGGATCAAACACACCCAGAAATATATCTCACACACACAGGGAACACAATATTTACGTGGTTCGGCCCAATGCCTACATCCACGGACAGAAATGAGAAGTTTTCACTAAAATGGAGCAAAATACAAAATACAGAGGAGGAGATGAAACTCACTCAACTCACAGCTCTCACTCTCTAATTTCTGATCTGTATCTCATCCTCTCCCTCCCGTCTCTATTTATACACAAAGGAGTAGGTGGGAGAGCCTTCATTCTTGACTTTTGACATGGTTGGTGGCCACCAAGCTTGACTTGGTTGGTTGTCTTCCTTTGTTGACATGAGGATCACCCCTTTCACATGGGGTGACCTTCAACAAACAATGGAAGGATAGAACATAAAGTTAGAATAGAGAAAACGAACAGACGATCCAAAGACGGGAAACTGTGGCAAAATATATACCTGCCAAGGTGGATTTTTTCCGCCAAGACGATGGCACCGAGAACGGCGGTGATGATCATGCAGAGAGGGCTGAATGCTGTGATGAACACCGGACCTCGAACCTTGTTCACTACACCTTGCACATAATATGCTACTCCGGAGCAAACTACCCCCGTTCATCATCATCAAGTTCAGTTTTTAGTTCATCACCCCCCCCCAAGCAAAAAAAAGCATTTTTTCTATCAATAAAATCTCTTTTGTGCTATAAATAAAACATCCAATTGATTGATTGGTTCACAATTGATTCTGTGGTAATTTTTCACCAAGAAGATGCTTGTCAAATTTGTTAAGAACTCAACACATATGAAACTAAACCCTCAGGAAGAAAATGAATTCCAGGATCAAACTCTATATTACTCTATATTATGTATAGATATCATCAACATGATCATATGGTCACATATCAGTCGATATCAGACAGTATGATACTTACAGAATAAACTGCAGCAAGAAGTCTCGAGTCAAAACCGACCACCCAGGCACTCATGTCGCGTTCCATAGCAAGTGCCACGGCTGCACCTTCCACCATGCCCATCAAGCATATTAACGCCGTCAAAGACAGCTCTGCCGGATATTGCTTCAATGTAATCGACTGAAAAAAGAGATGGATCAAATAATTACTTGTATCCATTCATTTGTACTCTATGTTCAATTGTATGTTTGATTTCTATGCTCGTAACAAAACTATACATAAAACATTCAAAACCTATTTTTTTTGAAAAAATGTTTCAGAGCTCCAGAGCAAGAGCTCTAGAACTGCTCTAATGATGTGGCAACTGTGTGAGTCCCACCTTCATGTGATATTTTGGCTTAACTTTTTTTTTTTTTTTTTTGAAGTTGCCAGCTCAGTAGACCTCTATTTTTAAAGTTACCAATCACTGCTGTTTTTTTTTTTTTTTTTTTTTTTTTTTTTTTTTTGTGTAAATAATGTCGAGGAGGGGAGCTTACTTGCACAATGAAGAAACCAGACCAACCACAAGTGCAGGCAAGGATCATGAATGTCCCCATGACCCAATGCTGATCAGTAGAGGTACTATTGGTGGTGTTATGATGGTGATTTCCTGATTTGGAGTACCATAAGATATCAACAATAGGGCCTTTATACAAAGTCATCACCATTGCTCCTGTTACTGTGATCACTGTTCCAACCACCTTTGCTACACATTGTATCTTCTTCAAATTCACTTTCTCCAACCTATTCATCATCACATGAACAAATATATATATATATATATATATCATATTATATTGATGAAGATGAAGCAGAGATCATCATGTGTACAATTTAGTTGAATTGATAAGACCATCTCCAACGGTTCACCAAAGTTGACATCAAATTTAAAATTTGGTGAAAAAGTTACTGTTTGATGCTCCAACGGTTGTACCAAATCGATATCAAATTGAAATTTCAGCAAACGATTCATTAAACTGAGGACAAAATACATATTTTATCAAAACACTGTGTGTGACCGTTGGAGGGAGGAACCGGTCAACTAGCCGGTTGCCCGGTCGGTTGACCAACCGGTCAACCGATTTCCTTTAAAATATGTAGGTTCAAACCGGTCAAAAAGGTTCAAACAAGTAAAAAAAAAAAAAAAAAATTATTTTGCCTTACTAATTGACCGGCCGGCCAACGAACCGGTCAACCCACTAGCAACATTTGTTTCATCAATTGTTTCATCTGACATTGTTTCACATTTTAAGGCTCTCTCTCTCTCGTTGAACCAACGTTTATCAATTATTGTTTTATCAACAGTAAAGACAACATTTTAAGGCTCATCAAAAGTACTTCATCTGACATTGTTTCACATTTTAAGGCTCTCTCTCTCATTGAACCAACTTTTTCCTTCAACGTCGTCGTCGGTTGCACCAACATTTATTTTCCTCTTTTCAATTTTCTTTACAGAAAGCATTTGACATTGTTTCATCAATTCTTGCAATTGTTTCATCATTGAACCTACCTAATTGTTTCATCTTTGCAGAATAGCGTTTAAAGCTGATATAAAAAAAAAATATTTACGCTTACCGGTCGACCAATCGGTTGACCCAATTGGGATTTGATGCACCATTGGAGCTAGTGATATCAGATTTGGTAAAATGAGTATTTTTTACTCAAATCTGGTGAAAAAAGAAGTTCACCGTTGGAGATGCACTAACTCTTTAAAATTTGGATCTGGAATTAAAGGGGCAAAAATTTATTCACTCTTGTAATTGAGGGGTTGATATTTAATTTGAAATGCTCTATAATTTCAATTTCTTGACATATATTAAGAAATTGGATGAAAAAAAGATTAATACAATTGAAATTATAGAGATTAAATTGATACAAAAGACAAATTATAAGAAGGATCACAAGTATAATTTGTCCATAAAATTTCTATACCAAAGTTCAACTCAAATTTTACATATTGAGACATGTGAGAGACAAATGAGTGGAATTTAAATATGTAGGACCTACGTGCATACCCTATTTTTTTGTCTCTCATTCTGTACAACTTTTATATAAACCAAAATTTATTCTGGTGCCAATTATTTTGTATTTTATGCTTTCAGGTGATAGGCCGCTACATATAACTTTATCCTCATTATTAAGAAGTAGTACATAATATATATACAATGATGAAAGTTTTACCTGAAAATTATTGCCATGATAAAGGTTAGGGCAGGGAGGACATTGACAACTGCAGATGCAAATGTTGCTGATGTGTTCTTCAACCCCAAGTAGTATAAGTTCTGATCAATTACTGGCCTATTAATCCAAAAAAAAAAAAAGAAAAAAACATTAGCCAATTTTATCAAATTCCAAACTTGAAGCACCTCCAATAGCAATAAAAGTGTTTTTTTTTTTTCCCCTCTAAAATATAATAAGAGCCCACACCCCTATAAAAAAAGAGAAAAGAAGCCAAAAAGAAAATGATTCTAGAGTTGTAAAAAGGGGAAATTACAGATTAGTGGTAATTTCAGAAAATTATTACAAATTCATGAAAAAGTTTATGTTTTTAGTTATTAATATTTATAAAATTTATTACTTATTTGCAATTATTTTTCAAATTACCTCTGAAGTGAAATTTTGCCTCATAAAAATATTATTCTCATACTATTATGTATAAACTTTATGTATAAAAATCCTTATTGTTTAACACTTTCTAAAAAAATGTCGGCAAAAGGTGATAACATGCAGAAACACATGTTCTTACCAATTAGTAGTAATATTACGGATTCATAAAAAATTGACAAAAAAAGTGTCAAAATTGCATTTATTGTGATAGAATATGTAGGCCTATCCAGAATGAATACAGTGCTGTTAGCATAACATTTTAGACACTTTCTTGGTTTTATTTATTTTAATTATTTTTCTTTCTTTCTTTTTTTAAAAGGTTTGTATGATTTTCTTACCACCATGCATCTATAAAAATATATTTAAGAGTTTTCACAAAAAACAATTTATAGTACCAGATCATAAAATAATTTTCCTAATGGTTGTGCTTCTATGAAATTGGGTCTACAAATGCATGAACCCTGCTCTACATGAAAAAAATTTGTCTGGTTTTTTGATTGAATTTTGTTTACGTAAATGTCTAAATTAAGAGCTAGGATTTTAAAAAAAAAATAATAATAATAATAACCAAAGTCCCAACTGACCTTTGTTCATGAGTTTTGAACTAGGAAAAAGTGAAAAAGTGAAAAAGTAAAATTTTACACACATGAAAGCCTATATTCTAACGTCATCCTTATATGTAAAGAGTGGGTGCTTAGCACATTACTCTAGTAAACCGAGTGCCATTATTTTTAGGAACACTGAGAGTGTCATCTTTGGCCTTATTTTCCTGTAAACAAAGAACACAAATGATGTGAATCAGTTATGTTATTACGATGTCAATGACAAACTATTATTAACTCAATAAACATAGAAACTGATCACAAAATCAGACACAAAATGTATACAAACACAAGATTTCGTAGAACAAACTCCATAAAATTTTGTCCATTTGCATTGTGTGTCTGATTCTGTGATTAATTTGTGTTATTAGAGGAAGAGAGAGTAATTAAAAGATGACCTTTCAAGAACAAGTGCGAATGGAGCAATAACGAGAGTGGCAACAGCATGACGATAGACAACGAGTATAAAATTGCTCATTCCACGCTTCAAAGAAACCATGGTGATGATGTACATGCCTGCATATCCAAACTGCAGGGAGACCATAGCCAAGTAAGGTTTTACTTTAGTGAAGATGAGACTCAACATTCCACAACTACTTTGCTTTTGGTCTCCCATTTTCCCTCTCCTTTTCTTCCTCTCTCCAAACGCAAAGTAGAGTTGTGAATTGGGTACACTTAAAATGAGAAATAGGTTCCCCCTTTATATTCACCAAAGAAAACAAACTTATGAATAGGTACTGTGCTTAATTAGAACTCCCATTCTCAAAATAATAATATTATAAATTCAGACCTAACCAATCAAAAATTATTAATAATTGTCATTTTATGGTTTAAATTTATTTTACATATAGACCCTACACTACACTACACTACACTAACTCAATCTCAACCACACATTCTCATTCTGGATAAATTTGGGATAGATAAGTCTGGATTCATAGACTTTATTCTTCTTTAAAATTACTGTCACAAACGACACTGCTCTCTACACTGTTTGTAATAACTTATTTGTGTGATTCCACAGACCTGTTAGTAGGACCCATAAATATTTGCATAGGAGGAGGATCAATTATTCATTGTCTGTTAGTGCTGACAATACTAACAGAGTTGGCAGGTTTAAAAGGCCAGAGCCCTGCTGGAAAGTGGGGGTTCGGTAATTTGTATCGAGAGTATTTTGATAATTTGTTTATGTAAACTGTGTATGTATATTATTATCTTTACAGTAGTAGTCGCATTATATTATACTATTTTTTAACTATAATCGAACATTTTATATGCTATGTACCTAAATAATTATGTGAAACTCGGTAAATTTGTTTGGCCGTTGTTTATGATTGATTGATTCTTTTTACTATTATTTATGTGTGGTTTATTATGAAACAATTGGTTCCCCTTTATATTCCCTTATCCATCAGCAATTTTTTTTTTTAAATAATAATTTTGCCCATTTTTTAAGCAAGAAGAATCCTTTATTTGATGATTGTATCCAACGAAAGATAGAAGTTTTGTGTGATTCTGTTCTTTGTAAGGAAATAATATTTATTTTAATTTATTTTATTATATTAGATAGTGATGATTTGAGATTTTATTTTTGACCACCAAATGATACTAGGGCTTAGTGCTTTGGGATGATGCTAGCATGGGGCGCTTGCCAAGAAGATTGGGTGGTAAGAAGAGTGGACACCAACATCTTTTAAGCAAATTGTTTGATGATCACTATTTGTGGCTTTCACACCTATGATAACTACTAGCTTATTTAGGGGTTGTTTGGAATGACCTAAATAAGTATACTTTTTGTCTTTTTACGAAAAGATGTGCAGAAAAGTAGAGAGATGATGTGATGAAAAAAAGATAAAAAGATAAAAAGTTTGTATTTATTTAGGATAGCTAAATTTGACCTTAATATAAATCGCAATAGTTCTTGTGCAAATGGCAAATTCTGAATAAAATACTAGGCTAAACATTGTATATTGACGCAAGTCATTCTATGATAGTCATCTCTCTCTCCATGAATTATAAATGGAAAAATTATACATCAGTGAGAGTTTTACAAAATATTTATAAATTAATGAAAAAATGATAAATTTAATTATTGATATTTATAGACTTTATCATTAATTTAATTTTTTTAAAAGACATACACTGTGTTGTAATTCTCTCATTCTAAATCTATGCCAAGCCTCAATACATATAAATAGAATTTTTTTTTCTAACTTTTGCACCACTAAATACAAATGTATGAAACTCATATGTATTTACAGATGCGGATTCCACTATAAATGAGTTTAGGGATTTAGCAAAATAGTGATGACAGATAAGAGCAACTGACAAAAAAGAGAAGTTAAGATGGCTAGCAGAAGAAAGGTTGGATGATTGGGCTCGTGAAAGTCGCGAGGTGGGTGAGAGAGGAGAACAAAAAAAAAAAAAAAAAGGGTCCAATGTGGGCCACCAAAGCTAATGAGTGTGCGAAAATATAGAAGTTGTATTTGGCAAGTAATAAATATTAATTTCAGGAAGGACACAGGAACGAGAGTCATTGGTAGTTCATAGTTTGTCATTTTCATTTTGTTATTCAATTTTTTAATTTAATCAAATTCTGCTAGATTGAGTTTCACCAAAGTATATATATATATTATATATTGATAATTTACTATATCATCATATAAATCTAATATATGGCAAACTAAAATTATGAAACCCTTAGAAAGTAATAATTTATTTATATTTCATGATAAGTGAAATTATGATAAAAATAGTTAAATTTTAATTAATTCTATATTTTTTTTATATTTTAATTTTTATTACTTATTTTTAAAATTAATTATTAATTATTTATTTGAAATTATGCCTAACACTATTACGCTAGTGTGTGTGTATATATATATTATAACACTTTAATTATGTGTTTCTTTGTGCAAAAAAGCTAGGATTCAAAAATGGATATGTGTAGTGGAGATTGAATTGATGAAATGTAAAATCCACATATGAAATAAATCTGAGCCATTGATGTGAAATTTTGAATAATTTCTGAGTCGGTATGTTTGGATTCGCAACATTTCTATTTTTTTATGATTATATAAATAATTATTTTCCTTCTCACATGGAACGCTTTTTGACACCTTTTCAATAAAAAAAAGCAGTGTACTCAAAAAAAAAAAAAAAAAAAAAAAAAAAAAAAGAAAAGAAAAGAAAAGAAGCAGAGAACCTAGTTCCCAAACAAATTAAAATGTCGGAGAATTGCAGTTTGTACACACCAAAAGTCCACCAACACTTCGCCAAGCATATTGTAAGATGAAGATTCCCCTAAAAAAATGACATGCACATGCAATATGGTACTATCTTGGTATGAATTTGATTCAAAATGTGATTTACATTTCTTTTTCAGATTTGACCTTTTTTTTTTGGGTTAAAAGATTGAAATATAGAAGTATCATTTGTGTGTGGAATAGCATTGATGCTGTTTTTCGCCTTAAGCTTCACCCTTTTATTAATGTAATAGTGTGTATAACTTGTATTTTATCTTGCATTAATAATATTTTTAGGTTTTAGGCTTGACATAAAAATGAAATCTTAGGCCCCAAGGTCTATGGACAATTGAGGCATTTGACGATGCAATTTTATTTTGAAAATTTTGAAGACTCAGATAATATGTCAACTTACTTAGATATATATCATTTGTGTGTGAAATACCATTCATTTTAAAGTCATGCAGGCTCAGCGCTAGCCGCTAGCCCATCGCGAGCGAGGCTCTCATTCACCCGCTTGAGATTCCATATGTTTTGAAGGTCTTAAAATTTTATTTTCTTTCATATTTGTCAAAAGGTTTCATTGGGTAAAAAAAAAAATATCCTTGCTAACCAGAGACCATCCAAATTAAAAAGACCATGTCTAAATGCTAAACAAAATTAAAAACCGTCTTTGTATCCATAAAAAAATGAGTTATCCTTAGGCCTAAAAGCTTAATAAAGCGCTTTTTGTCCAAAAGGGCCAAAAAAAAAAAAAAAAATGATATAAAGGCCCAACAAAAATTAAATGAAAAATTACCATTCAGGGTAGATTTTGAAAAATTATTACATATTGGTGAAAAATTTTATAATTTTAATTATTATTATGTATAATGTTTATTATTTTTTTGTAATTTTCTTTCCTAACACCACTGAGGTGTAATTTCCACCAAAAAAAAAAAAACCCTTTTGTCCAAATATCTCCAAATAAATTTGTTATTAATATTAGGCCGTCCAACCAAAAAAAAAAAGAAAAAAAAAAGCATCTCTCCTCATTTTGAGGATGTGTTATTGGAGAATTGAATTGACCATAACCATTCAATCAACATGATAGAATGTACTATTATTATTATTATTCGAAAATGGACAGCAATGTCTATTGATTATTGAGTACAAAAGCATTTGGGAGACAAATTCCCCGAAAAGAAAGAGAAGTTGGTGCTTTCAATCTTGGATTCCAACTTAGAAAGAAAAATCCCCTCCCCCCCCCCAACACACACACACACACACACACAATTGGGAAGCTTTGGAATTGAAATCTCAAGGAGAATGGCTCGTTTGGTGTATTTGTTAAAACAACTTATAAATTATAGATTGTGATTTTAATCATAAGTTGTTAATCTATTTGGTGTAACTGTTTGCATTATAGATTTAAATTGCTGAGTAGTGTTTGTTAAATAAGTTATGAAATAATTTTTTTAATTATTTTTTATTTTTTGTTATTTATTACTTGCCTACATTTCTCATAAATAATAATAATAATAATCTATAGTCTATTTGGGTCTTTTTATATTTTTAAAAAAATAAAAAATAAAAAAATCTAAAAATATAACCATAAATTAATATATCCACAGTAGAAACTAATAATCACAAGTAAGGGGTGAGTAGATTCAGGATTCACTCTATCATTTGTTAAGAAGCTTGCTGCATTACTTATGAGCTTCCAGCATTCAGAGAATGGAGAGGCAACAGAAGTATGGAGCGGGAGCAGGGGGTTGGATGCCAGTACTGCGCAGACATGGAAGAAATGGTAAAGGTTTCTCAACGCCAAAAGTAGGAATGTATACACTGTTTGTGGATGACATACCAGACTCAATGGATCCAAAAGGGTTGTACGACATATTTACTAACTTTGGGGTGGTGAAGGATGTTTATATAGCGTTCAAGAGGAGGAAACAGGCAAGATCAAAATTTGGATTTGTCAGATACGACTGTCCAGTGGCGGCACAAATGGCAGTTCAGAAAGCAAACGGCCTGTGGTGTGATAACAAAGCATTGAAGGTAAAACCAGCAGACTTTGAGAAGGAACAGGGAGCTAAACCAAGGCTACCATATGGCAAACAGGAAAGAAAGGCAGAGTTGTCAAGTTATGCAAATGCTACTCGGGAAAATACAAAGAAATCATATGCCCAGGTGGTAGGTGAAGGGAGAAGGAGAGTATCTACAAGCTTAACCGTAAGAGCTTATGAAGAAGGTAATGGTTGGCTGTACGAGAGTATAATTGCTCGATTGAGAACGCAATGCTCGGAGGAGGATTTCAGGAAAGAATTAACCAAGAGGGAGGTGGGAAATATCAAAGTCAGAGCTGCAGGTGGAAGGGATCTAGTAATCTCATTTCAATCAGTCCAAGAGATGAAAGAAAAACTCATCATAATGAATGGTTGGATTAAGGAGTGGTGCGAATCGGTCAATGAATGGAAAAAAGGAATGGTCATTACACAGGAACGATGTGTATGGCTGAGCTGTTATGGAGTGCCATTAAATCTATGGAACAGTAAAACTTTTAGCAGTATAGGAACAACATGGGGCGAAGTTATTGAGTTGGATGAAGATACTCTTAATATGAAGAACTTACAATGTGGAAGGGTAAGAATCGTCACCACAGATATGGAATCTATCAATAGAACTGTGCAGTTAGATTGTCAAGGAATCCTATATCCAGTGAAAGTGTGCGAGGAACAGATTGTTACCAGGGTGGTGTTAACTAAGATATGCAAATGGCATAAGAACCATGATGAAGGTGATGGCTCCAGTTCGTATGAGCAAGAAGATGGACAGAGAGCAGAACAGAGGAACAAACGGGGTGAGG